AACGGAAAGTTAGATAAGTTTACCCTACGTTATCATTGTTTAGGTCGGGGCGATATGCGAGGCAGGTTTCAAGGCTATATTTTCACGAATGTGAAGAGGAGATATGTAGAACGCGCGCCAAGTTGGGGAAGTAGTTCGTGCGCACCCTCAGCACCGAGGAACGTCAATGAGATTTTATGAAATATTTGTATATGCTGTTTTCTTTTATTCTCCATCGACGGAGAGAATGTCAGGGAATTGTCAGAACGCATGCTGTAGGTAACTAAGAGGCAGGAAGACTGGAAGCGGATAAATTAGTCATTATTTAATCCAAATTTCGGAAGGTGGGGGGAGGAGGGCTCGTGTATATTATTTGTTCATGTGTCAAAATCACCTACTTCACTTTCTAAAAATAGTATACATAACTTAGTGTTCGTGTACTCCATGTATGTTCTGTGTGTTAATTTTATGACCAAAATACAGCTTTGAAAATTTTGAAAAGGAGCAGTTTCCTGTGGTCATCAGTGGGATACAAAACGCCGTGCAAATCCATTCATCTCATTCTGATAATAAAAATATTGCATTAGATTTTGGGAAGCGCACAGAAATAACGATGTTAGAGTGGTGAGTTTATCTTTGGTTCTTAATGTTATCAGTAATCAGCGTTACTTGATAACAGTTTTTGAAACTTTCCCTCGCAACTGCGGAATGGCATCATGCCCAGTGACGCCGAAGCGTTTTGAAACTCTCTCTTCAATATTAACGTTATCTACATGTTCATGGTACGCTATGCCCCCCCCCCCCCCCCCCCCAACTCGGTCCTCGCCTAGTGGCTGAAAAATTCCTCATCCTTTGGTAAGAACTTTATTAGTGTTGAGCATGTTTAGCAACTGAAATTAGCAAAGAATCACTGTCATTAAGTAAAAAGGGACATGCGAAGGTGATTAATTTAACAATAGCTGAGAAAAAATTAAAGTTACTACGACGGATTTTCTAATCAAAGATTTTTTGATCGAAGTATTTTCAATGATATTGCCGTACACATGGAAAGTCTGACGTCTAGTCGGGCAAACTTTTATGTGCTGTGCGCAGTCGCTTTTGCCATTGCTAAAAACTGGCCACAAAAAGGACGCTTCGAGTAAGTGGACCCTTGGGCGATCCGTGTCACATAGGGTGGCATTCGAATGATGTGTCACTGTCATTGGACTCTCGATTAGAAGTCGAGTGGTCTGCAGCTGGTCCTCGCGTAAAATCAAAATGAAAATGTCGACGCTCAGCCAATGAGCGTTACGACTATTTACATCACCGGCGCCGCACCATGCCTGCGTTATCTTTGTCCGACTTTAGATAGATATATACTATGGCTGCTGATCAGGGAAATACTGACATTTATGTTTTTTTCAAGGGGTGTCAAAGTTGTTTTTACTGTTAATGTTAGATAAGAAGCTTAAGTGTTGTTATGAAAACCAAAACTGGTATGTCTTATGGCAATATCGCAACAGATGCATTTGCCAGTTAGTTTTTCCTTGTAGTAGTAGATAAATAAACTGAAGTATTTGTTTCGATTCGGCAGACAAAATACAGCAAGTGAAGGAGATTTGAAAACTGGGAAAGTTTTGATTTAATTTGATTTTTGCTCTCAGGGAAGAAAATCTAGCTAAGAGAAGTGCTCAATTATGTGTTTATGTTTTTCAAACAGGCGAAAATTCTTAGCGGTGAAAACCGGGAGTGATTTACTCTGCTTTGAAGCATTTTCTATACCTGTGCTTGTTTTGATTGGATTAAGAGATGAACAATCAAATCTGTTCGACTGGAAAAGACGGACTGAAAACTAGGCGAAATTCAAGTATTGATACATGACGCTGTAACTTATATGAAAATACATTTGCTTATTCGGTTTCTATGCCCTTCTGGTTGGCCTATAAGACTTGATGCACAAACAAACGCACGGTTATTTCTGTATCTTTTTTCACATAACAAAGACGAACTTGAACCTCTGTCGTTTCATTGAGCATGTAAAAGTTGAAAAGCGGGGAGCAAGACACGGGCAATTTGAGCGTCAGAAGTGACATTTATATCACGTGAGTCGCATCCAGGGGCGAATTCAGTCCCTCAAAACGACAACTTTGAATCTTGAAGATTTTGTTCTTCATATCCAGTGTCCGAGCTAAACCAAATTATTCCGTTTTCCGGGAGCAAAACGCAACAGTTTGACGGAAACAAAAATTTCAGTCTCAATATTTGTTCTTAAAGCTGCTGGAAATTGTTAAAACTGGTGTGAAATATACTATGTACAATAAATGTTAATCTCCCGAGACAACAATCGTAGTTTGCTGGCTTAGGGTGCGTCAGTACTGCCTGCGGCATTAAGACCGATTCCGATTCGGTTCGTCTGAGCATGTTGTGAACACAACACAATTTGCTTGCTGTTGTTGCATGTATAACCAAGGCCGATTAAAATCTCAGTGAAATCTAGGCACTTATTATAAGTCGGAAAACCAGGTGAGAAACAAAATGAAAGAGTAAACATGTTTTCTTTGACTCCAGCAGTGAGAAATAAAATGAACAATTGTTAGGTTTTCGATACCATAATTGTTGACCCGGCGAACTTGTTTTGAAGAAAATGTCCTCAAATTTGGTGCCTTATTGTCAGCAACTCCTTCATCGCAACATCTTCAAGGTTTAAATGCACTTTGATAATGGCTATTTGGGCGATATGCCGACGGATGAAAGGTGGAAACATGTAAAGCGTAACAACAGTAAATGGCCGTATCATGCTTATCGTGTTAAATATGAACGCTCGAAGTGCACTCGCGAAGAAGACCGTTTAAAATCGCCATGGGAAGTCATCTACATAATTGTTGTATGTGCAAACTTGAAAGCTATACCTTGAAACCGCAATTATTCATAGGTTGTCACATACGAACGAGTTTGTCCAGGCTTAAACTTATCGAATTAACAAGCCCGAGATATGTATGCATATATGCAGATCTCGCGTCAGTCAGCAAGGATTTGACTTTTTCCCTATAATGGCGTTGTTCATGTATAACTGGCAACTCTAATATGATTAAAATGTTAAATCAATCAAGGTTTATTAAAGGTAGAAATGAAGGTTATTACAGTCTTAATAAACAAGAGGTTCAAGTGATCCTTGATCGGCTGTAGTGTAGAGAGGGTCTTAAGGTTCTGTGTTCGTTGTTAAAAAAAGAAAGGTTTTAAATACCAAATCTCATTGTTTGATATTATTTAGCTTTAAGTTACAAAAACTTGAACGGGGTCATTAAACAAGTTACTCTGATTGTAGCATAGGTACCGTAATGCCACTGTAACAAGTACAGAGTCCCAAGTTAATCGCTACTCAGTTGGAAAAACAGGTTCAACGAATATCTCAACTATTTGACGCGTGTGTATTTACAGGTAACCAATGCAAAACCACTGTTACGGGGTTAAGGTTTGCGTTAAGTGCCGTTCATGAAGGGGATTAAGAGGATTATAATTAACTCCAATATACAGAGTATGTCCCACCTGCTACTGAGGAGATACGTGGGTGATGATTATACGGGCAACAGTAATATACGTATAATTCCAGCTCAGGTTTAATGCCACTTTGCACCAGGTTAAGAATAACGACCGTGGTGGCGATTTTAAGTCTACACAGCGATTTGATGCGTCTTTAAATGTTCTTTAAGGATGGATTAACACGCCTCGCTGACATGGCAACTCCACGGAATGTACACTGGAAGACGTAGCCTACCTTGCGAATTGTCTCGAATTTAAGTAGATTTTATACTTATGGTTCCATCGTCTTGCAGCGGCAAAGGACTTTAAGTTAGTTACAGTTTTTACCCCAGCCCAACCTGACCACCTGAGAATCCAAGGTTTATGAAAACTGTGCTATGATGCCAATGTGACATCAAGTTTCACAAGCGTGTATGTACTGTGGTCCTATAATATATATGAGGGTCACAGTTCGTACCTTTCTACTCGGGGTGATTTTGAAACTAAATTCTTTAATATCCCAAACTCATTATCATAGAATTCCAACTGCAGTTTAAGTGCCATCAGCCAGACTTGAAATAAGTAAAGCGCTATAGGGGTAGTGTTCCTGGATAATTGACTGAATGTGGTAACACACATGCATATATTTATTATATTATGTGTGTGTTTGTGTGCTTCATATATAACAGCCTAATGTGCCTTGTTACATTTACTGTGACTGTCATACCGTGCCCGACTGTGTCTGTCACTATGATTTATGTGATGGTTTTTTTTAGAGGGAGTCGCTCAACTTGGAGAATGTGAGGATGAGAAACGTCACGCTAATGTTGTTATGTACACCGAGTCGTGTTCTTTCTTTCCACTCCCGGGGCTGAGGGGCAATTATGAATAATATCAGTCCTGGTCTTGAGTCATTGGCAGGTTCCTAATTACACCCTAGTGCGTGGTGTTTCATCCAGGTGAGATTTCAGCTTTAATAGGAATTGTCAAAGAAATTTTACAAACTTGGCTAAGACTAGTAATGATAACGTGGGTCCCCATGTTACCATTATTGTTGTTAGATCCAGTTGGTTTAATTTAGGACGCGAAACGCGGGTTTTGGAGGTGCGATTTTTAGTGGGAATTCGTCCACTTGCAAAGGTAAATTTACCATAGAGCCTACCATCCCCCCTTCCACCCTGCGTGGAGTATCTTTGACACTTTATAACATTATTCTACAGTGCAGGGCAAATATTCAGAAGTACGTCCTTCATCTGTAAAATAAATACGTCTCCCACATCTTGTGGATCTCAAGTGCTTTTAGTTTCTCGTATGTCCTTCGACGCGTCAGAAGTAGCCGTTTTCTCATTAAGTCTTTTTGATACCTTTTGTTGGACTGAATTGTCACAAAGGTGATTCGAGAGGGGACACTTAGCACCTGGATTTAAATGAAGAGGCTTTGACAAGGGACGGTCGTAGCGTTTGGTGCGAACGCCACCTTGTGTCGACCAAGATCCCTGCGACATTGAGATAACTTCACTCACCTGCGAGCGACAAAAACAAAAGCAGCTTCCCCATTCTGTGGACTGTGTATAATCCCAATATTCCCTGCCTTACTTTGAGTCAAGTTGGATTCTTCGTGTTTGTGTTTCACATAGCCTCCCTGTTGAAACTTTTTTGCATGCACTTTTGAAGACGCAGTCAGTACACAGTGATGTTACGGTTCATAATATTCAGTGGTAGGTCGACGGAGATGGAGGCAGGTCACGTGACAGCCGTAAACTCTCGAAGATATTGCAGCATTGTAGCGAGAAGAAATGGAGTTAACAAATAAACACATTTACCGTAAGGCTGGTGAAATAAACGTAATGTCTGCTTACTCGAGGAAATGCAATAATAATTTGGGTTCCCAAAAATCGCGACGTTCTAAATGTTAAACTTGCAGTGTTCGTGTATTTTTTTTACAGGATAGCGAAACACGGTGACTTTACCTTGTTTGTGGCGATAATGCAGGACACGAAACTCCGATGGCCCGGGGTCTCGACCTTTTGTAGGTCGTAATTACATGTATGAAATCAACGTTATATTGTCTCTCTATTAGACGGGTCACTACCTTGTTTATACAGCCATATCCGATACTTTATTGTGTTATTGCAACCTTTGTGTTCGTGATATTTATACACCCTCTGTTCGTGAATGAGACTATATCGCCGGAGAAATTATGATGGAAAAATAGATGGAGAATGAAAGATAGGCTTGCCATAAACATAACCTTATACAAATATGATAACATATGTTCAATATATGAAGATGGCTTAATGGAGCAATGGAGTTTGGGGCACTTTTATGTACATGTAGTGCGTGCTTTCAAAATACAGCGAAGGTTATTATTGCACATTTACACAACGATTGTCAGGAAGATAAAAATTTGTCGTAAGACTTATTATTGCAGCCGAAATAACTATAACAATGCAAATTACACGTGGAGGATTCTTCTGTGTAAAGCTATGTTCACGGACTGTTGGTGGGAGAGAGCAATTTTATTTATAGCCCGATAGCGCTTTCTCAATTGGCACTAGAACGTAACATTGCACAAATACAGGGTGTATTCAGTCTATGGTAATTACTAGATCTTTTCAATGGGCGAAAATGATCAGATTTTCAGATACATGATGTTATATTCACAAAAATTATATTTATGCTTTGTATTTGTAGTTATTTTACTGCATATAATAGAACTATAGAGAAATCTGCTTTTTAATTTTGTTGCAGCCGCTTGAAAAGTACGTTTTAAATTTCAGAAATTAGGACTTACCAGTATCTGTAAAATTCACAATTTTCTCCCATTAAAAAGATCGAATAAATACCGTATATATAGATATAAATTGATGTATTGAGAGATGAAGCGGAGGATTCGTTATCGCAGGGATTAGTGCTAAAATAACTATCATCAGCTGTTAGGTTATGGCGTAATACAGCAGCCATTATTCAATAAATCCGGCGACTCATGTGAATAAAATTGAATCCGAGTTGAAATAAAACGATTGGCAATACATCATACTATGACATACAAAGGAAGAAGACGTGCAGTGATAGATTAAAGATGGAACGGAATGCGGTCTCGCGTTTGAAAATACATGGTATATTAGATGGACTTCGTGTGCGATTGATGTTTCCCTAAGTATTCCATATTTTATCTTTCGTGAACTCTCAAAGACGCATTTTCTTTAAAATCATAAATGAATATGTCACACTTGTTCAAGTTTGCACTATGTGCAAATGCAAGGAATACGCAAAATATTTCATCTCCCCCCCCCCCCCCCCAATCTCTCACAGACAAACATTTTTGAGGGCGACACTCGTCGATTGCCGATGATCGCTGGAAAATTGTTCATGACGCCAGGAAAATTCGATCTTTGACACTTAACTCCAGAATTCTACGTAAGGTATCTTTAAACTGATGGAAAATTACACTTTCACACACACACACACACACACACACACACACACACACAGAGAGAGAGGGAGAGAGAGGGAGAGAGAGAGAAATACTCATCTTATACTTTTTTACTTTGTAGAGCAATGAAGCATCGCTGAGATAGAAGCAAAAAATGGGGAAAAATAAAGGGAAATCGCAGCAGAAAGGCAAAGACAGTGTCCTGTTCAAAACTGTTGGAACTAAAATAACCAAAAACAAGAAAACGAAACCAGTCAACATAAACCTTAAAAAGGTACGTATTAGTGATTTTAGTGGAGTTGAATGATATCACTTTAAGCTACAATCAGGGTTTTCTTTTACTGTTGTGAAGTTGGTATGATGATTGAAAATGTTTGAAATTATTTAACTATCGGGATTAACTTACAATGCTTCTAAATTTTACGTCTTGTTAGTTTACCAATGCTTTGTATAAAATTTGTGCGTTGTGAGCGGATATTGGGACTGGAATCGTTGCGTTAGTTGTGTTTAGAGTTAAATCCCAGGATTGCGTTTTTCAGCTAAAACACCTAACGAAATCCAAGACCGAAGAGGTTGACCAAACCTGGAAAGATGTACGAGAAATACCGAAGTCGAGCTCGTCGTCTACGACACAAAAGAAGGACGGCAAAGCTAAGGTGTGCATTTAATCCTCTTATCCTAGGCAATGTATACTTTAAGCATGATAATGTAATCATACCCGGGGCTGCCTGTATACAGCATATTACATTTGTAGGATTTCTTTCGTATATGTACTGATATTGGCATTTTCAGTGTGGGTTAGTGGCACAAAAATGTGGGAACGCAATTGAAAAATTGTGAAAATATACGTTAATATATAATTATTTATCTGAGAACTATATGAGCCAATGATTTTTACATTAAAATTACAAACATATTTAATGTTTTCTGTGAACGCTGTGCTAAAGTTTATTTCGTTTCTTTTTAGCCCGCTACTAGGAACATTCAGCAACGGAAACCACCCCCAAATGTAGACCAGGAACTTAAGAATTTTGCGGCGCTGTGAAACTGAATTTTAACCATCCAATGTAACTTTCTATTTCGGTTTCTAAATTTCCGATTTTTGAACGAAAAAGAAAAGATAAATAAATATAGAATGATTGGGAGATAAGCGACAGGGAAGACAATTATCTTTAAGCGCATTCAGAACCGCGGACTAACAGATCCACGGATCAAATATGGCGACCCACTAAAAAGCTTGCCGCTTAATTCCCGATTGATTAGACACTGAAAAGATTCCCCGCGGGGATTATGCAACAAGCATTCAAGTGGTCGGCCATATTTGATCCGCGGATATGTTAGTCCTCTGTTCTGAATGCGCCCATTTACATGCCGTAGAACGCAAAAAGGAAAAAATATAGTATGATTGGGAGATAAGTGACAGGAAAGACAATTATCTTTATGGACCATCACGCTTCCTCAGTATTAGGTGATGTAAGTAAGATTGAAGAAAACGTGGCGAAAAGTCTAATGGGATATAAATATAGGAAAGACAACTATCCGTGTAGACTATCCTTCTTTCTAAGTATGTTATGGAAAGTCACATGGCATATATTATGGTTTTGGTGTTTTTGAAAAGGCACCGATAACATCACATCCAGTCCCAGGAAGTGTTATAATAGCAGGCCGTGGGTTTGTCACGTTACAAGTAATTGAAACTGGGAAAAAATATCCAAAATATCCGTGTCTTAATTATGTATGGAGAAAATCGTCGTGTCGGCTGCTTCGATATAAAGGCAGATCTTGGATTGTAAGGCAGGGATTGTAATTATCAACCTAAACTACAGATTTATTTTTTGTTCTAGATATTCACATATATTTCTCGGGCCATTTTGTGCTCACAACTAATCTAGTCCAGCGAGAAGTTAAGCACAAATCCAAAAAGTCAGAGAAACCGACACATTGAGGTCCTTGCGTCAGCAGAGGACGTCCACCTAGCAGAGGACGTCACTTATTCTAGACAACTAGAATCGGATATACATTTTTACCTACGTCCATCCGAACAATGAGATTAACAAAAGCTAAGCTAATAAAATCTAGCTGTAATTATCTCGACTAATTAGATCTAATATCACTCTCCAGTTCATATTTGTTTTCAACACGTTCCTATAGTAACCCATTGTATTATGGATTCTTTTATTCAACTGGTAATTTGATGCATCATTTATTGACCTGTTGCCTGCGCCTAAAAATTAATTAATGTCATGTAATACCATTTGTATTCTATGGGTAACAAAATTGATCTCGTCCAAAATTAAAAAAGAAAATGTAAAGGAAAATAATTAGACGATCATTGCTGAATCCTATGACATATACAGTAGTTAACAATCCTTCGCGTTTTAGACGGAGTATCATTAATTTCGCTTTTTGGCTTTGTTTTCTCTCACGTGTTCCAAAGGAGATGTCTCTTACGTGCTGACGGCAAATCACCTGGTATTTTTGATTTTCCTGTTTATTGTCTTTGAATTGAGTATATCTAATCACGTTATGTTGGTCTTAGCTCCACCAAATATTGGACGGTTCTGTGTGGATTAATTTCAAACGCAAGCAATGTACGTATGTGTTAACATGACGGGAGTACATGTAATCATTTTACATGTGAGTCCTGATTAAAACTTTGCACGCTTAGTTGGTATTATACATATACAGAATACTGGACCTGGCTGGTTGTAATGATCAATATATCTATAGGTTACCTTAATGCAAAGTGGAAAACCGTACTTTTTTTTAGATTTCATCATTTAAAATGAGGTAGTATGTATTAAGTGGAAACTTGCATATAATAGAAGTCAGCTGTGGACTTTATTGAAAAAAAGCCAAGAGAAAGAAAGAAAAAAAAATTTAATCAATTTGCCTCAGTCCGCTCAATGCAACGAGGCATTTAATTAAGACTAGAATTAAAATGTGGATAAAATGGTCAACTATTTCAACGGGCAGGTGGCAGGACGTGCATTTGTTAAGGCCAAGATCTAAAAAGTAATGATCGCAGAGGAAAATACATAGAAAAAAATAAATGCTCAGTGTTACAGAATATAAGTAGGCTATGTAAACTGCAACAGGGTAATGGGGATCTGTATTCAGGTTTTCTAAAAAAAAAACACGCTTATCACAAGCAGTGAAATTGATATGCGTTACATAAGACACTTATTTTTTTCCTTCGTTGGATATCTAATAACGTAACTATGGGATACCAACCCCTTCAAGCCACTGAAGGTGTAAATCTTAACAAAAATGACTTTTTTTAAAGCAGTGACAACGATAGGGCGCAAATCTGAAAAAATCTTTGGAATTTCTTTGAATTCAGGTAGATAAGTGCAAGTCTCGGATATCCTTAAAAATTTATCAGCACTGTACTCAGTATGTGTATGCATGAACAGTTTGTTAATACAACCACGTAAAAGGTAACCACTATGTTGGTCAAACGAAAAGAGGATATTCATTATACGTTTAAAAAATGCGGGCATTCCCCATTACGAGTTTGCATGGTAATGGGGGTGTTGGAAAATTGCTTTAACTTAAATTTCTGATTCTGTTACGTTAAGGGTATGTTTTAACAAGGA